TTCAAAAGCTTGTTCGTATTTCTGTCAGTCGAAATCTACACACTTAACAGTGGGCAAGCTACCATCATTTAGTGCAAAATAACGCATCACTAAAACTGTAGAATTCTACTTTTGTAATAAGCTGGAGTAATCAGGTTCCAAGTTAAATTCATCAATATAGATTCTGCATTATCCTTAATTTATTAGTAGTGGGATGTCAGGATGGCATCAAACAATTTAATCTTAGGCTAGGCAATATGTGACTAAATACAAATTTGCCAATGATCTTTTCAGAATTAATTTATAGAAAGACTGACCTGACTTCATCTTAATAGTCATCCTTTTATTTTCACGCAAAATGTTCTTCTTTCCTTTTCACGAGCATATTTCAATAATGTTATCAGTAGAATAAGGCAGGAGAATTATTTCTGAGGCAAGTCAGTTCATTTGTTCTCTGCAGTTTTACAAGGCATTTTTCTCTCCTCTTGATGAAATTTTTCCTATGTAAGCCCTTGAGAACTGAATGAAGACATGTAGATACCGCATAAGGGATGTGGGAATGAAGATAGTACTTAATTTGCTTGTGTGGTGTGGCATTGCATTGCCATTAAGATATTGGCTTAGATCCAAAACTGTAATTTCTGTGTGGTAATTGGTTTTAGAAATCTGTGGCTTTTCCTCTTGTGCCTTAGTTTTTGCTGGTTTAAAAACTTTCTAAATTTTTTCTTCTGGGCTTAAAATAACTTAGTTTAGTCTGTACAAGGGTTTAAAATAGCTCTTTTTTTTCTTCTTACTATATACATAATACAGTGTTCTTCCTCCATGAGTGGATCTCTGTATTTAAAATCTTGTACACACTAAAATTCACCAAAACAGGTCAATAAATAGTGTGCCGATTGTAACTTACGTTTTTATTCTTGATCTGCATTATTGCTCAAACGAAAATAAGGAGACTGCAATTGGGTAGACAGTCAGATGAAACAGTCAAGATAAATGTGGCTTATGCCTTGGAAGGATATTAGAAGTAATGTTGAGCAAGACAGCGATACAAAAGGTATGCAAAAAGAGTCTGGTCCATTTGTTCTTTTTAATAATAAGCATATATTTTGGTTTGTGCTATTGTCATGTGCCTTATAAGTGGACTACCAAGATCAGAAAGGTAGTACATGTCAGACTAATGCATCTTTGAAGGTGAATGTTAGGGATTATAGTCTTAATATTTTGATTGGCAATTCATGACTTGTGGCAGAAAGGGGCTGTGAACATTCTAAAAGCCATTCTTTTACAGCACCTATCTTTTCTTTTGCTCAGACCCCAGGAAAACAGTTGTATGCCTTTTGGCTGTTGTTCACTTCAGTGGCAAAGTTGTTGCTTTTCAGGCTTCAACATGGCTGAAATTTAAATTAGGTGGATTTTAAAAGCCATTTCCAAAACTAATTAGTTGTGGTAGATGGATTCTTCCCAAGGCCTCTCTTAATGTTGTTTAGTTCCAACAGAGAGACGAAATTGAATTTTAGTAATAATGAGTAATAGAGAAGCAGCTTCTTTAGTTTGAAACGAATGTTGCTATGGAAACTGCATAGAAATGTACAGTCCAATTGAATCTTCGATTAAAATAAATTCCCAAGTAATTTCATTTGTTTAGAAGCTGTTGGGGGAAAAAAAAAGTTCAACAGTAGTAAGTGCCAGCCACTTGATGTGCTTTCCATTACGAAGTATTAGAGTGTAAGACTTAAGCATACCTGTAGTACCTGGAAATTCTGGTTGCTGAAACGATGAAGTATTTTTATGCTGCAGCATAGAACAATGGGGGATTATACTGACTACAGTGTATATTTCTGTCTTTTCCATGTAATTTTGGTTCTTTTAAAGCACTTGAAATAGAAGGTAATGAATAATATAAAATAGAAAATTTTAATTCATATGTTATTTTCTATGAGTTGTTTTTTCTGTTTGGCAGAAAAAAATCAGATTGCTGTATAACTGTTTTTCTGCATTTAAAATAACTTATCAGTTTTAAAGGGGTTTGACCCATGCTAGAATTTGATCATCATCATACCTGCTTCTTTAAAAAAGTTCTTTACCTGAAGACTAGAAATTCAGATTAAAAGAGCATTTGGTTCAACTGAAAGACAATCAGAGGATTATCCCAATAGGCCTACCTCTGTTAATAGACCTGCTCGGTCTGAATAATGTTAATTAGTGTCATTGGAAAGCATTATCATGATATTATGGCATGATTTTAATTGCATAGTACAGTGTGATTAAAAAATTAATAAGTATTTGAATGCTGCACTTCATTTTAAAGATACAGATCTCTGTTATGCCAAAAGGGCATAAGTGTTGCATTACTGCTTACTGTGTTGACAGTTGTTGATAATTTGTTTATTCAGAGGAGAATAATTTTTAAGATTATCATCAAAACAGGTCAATTTTTGACATTGTAAACTAAAACTTGAAAAATCCTCTGGATGCATTAAGTGAAACATGAAATCAACTGAAGTGAGAAGTAGTAGATTTAATGCTGTATTAAGGGCAATTCTGATTTTTATGCATCGGGGTTTTAAAATACAGTTGACAGACATGACATGTATCTAGGTAAAGGTATCTTTTGTGCAAAGGTTAACCTGTTTTGCTGTAGTCTATATATTGTATTGGGGCCATACAATGATAAATTTAGGAATTTCATTAGGCTGGCCAGTAGTGTATCTATTTTCTTTAATTTGTAAAGTCTTTTTGCACAACATGCCTTTTGTGGTGTTTTGTTTTGTTTTTTTTTCTGTCTTCACAAAGTCAAAAGAAACACCCTTTTTGTTATCTTGCTTGTTTGGAACAGTTGATAGTGTACCTTGAATGAAAACCAATAGCTCCTCTTCTACAAAAAGGTCAACTAAAGGGAAGCTAACACTTTCAGATGAGTAAAAGCTAGCTTGTGTTGTTTCCAGAATGTGAAATATCTTAGCAGGTAGTGAGGTGTTCTGAAGTAGTTTCTTCAGTAGCCAGATTTTAACTCTTTTAACAACTGAAAAAGAAAAAGCAGACATTCTAAACATTGTATGTGATAGTGCCTGAGTCAATTCCAGTGTAGATAGCTTTGTGATCTTTGTTACTCAGCTTTCCATGCTTAAAGCAGAGTGAAAGCTATTTTGATTTTCATCAGAATTCTTCAGAAGCACATGAGTAGAGATGATGTTATGAGATTCTGATGAAGCTAATTTTGGAGTTTGCATGATTTCTGAGCACAATTGAGCACTAGCTGTTTGTAAGAAAAACTTAAGAGGACAGAGTAACAGATTGAGGCCACAAGCATAGAAGCTAGGAATGCTGCAGACCATAGAATCATTGAATCAATTAGGTTGGAAAAGACCTTTAAGGTCATGAAGTCCAACCTTTACAGTCTGTAAAGTCTAAACCTTTTAGACTTGCTTTCTCCTGTAAAGCCAGGAGTTGTGTAACAAACATAGCATTATGGAATTTATGATTTGGAAGGAGGAATCAAAGGGGACAATTTGTTGTTTTTTCTTGCAACAGCCCAGACTGTTTCTTCTTTTGAGGGGGGGAACATGGAAAGGGGAGAGGTTTCAGTATTTTGTTGTACACAAAGGACCAGAACCAAGGGTTGTGTCAATGCCTAAAACAAGGCTTTTTATTCATGCATTTGAAATGCATTCCAAACTATCCTTCTCAATAATAGTCTTGACTTGGAAAATACTGCCTTCTTTTCACTTGTGAAGACACAAGATACTTCTGTTTTTCAAGTTCCCTAAGTTCTGTCTAGCATAATAGATCAGTACTGTCTTGGCAAGACTAAATAGGTTTCTGCATGCTGCCCAGCCTCTTTTGGAATCCAGAAACTATGCAGAAAGGAGTCAAGCTACAATAAGTGTACTCTAAACAAACCTTGGGCACAGTAAAAGCATTAGGTTGATATATCACTGAACACAGCAGTCAAAGGTGACTAAAAGTAAAGTAGCTGCTATCTGACATTGGTCTATTAATAGTTTACCAGGAGATGAGAGAACTCGGTTCTTATGAGTTCGTACCTGTTGATCAGCTGACTGAAATAGCCGTAGACAAAATCACATTCTCTGTTTGTTCTCATTCAGATCCTGTTAGTCAAGCACCTCTTGTTTTTCAGCTGCCCAGGTTCAAACAGTCCTGTGATTACAGCTGCCTATTGGGCCACTTCAGTATACTATCCTTAGCCTACAGGTGCTGTAACCTTCATGCTCTCCAGGGTTCTAACCTTCTTACAAAGTGTAGAGGGATCCCACCTCACCGAATCCCACTATGGGGATTAGGTGCCACTTAGAAATAAGCATCGTAATGCCTTGTCTAGTGCTCATAATATTTTTCTCTGTATCAAGTCCAAGGATAGACCTGTGGTTAAGGATATCACTATTATTCACTTTGCAGTTGATGAAGGGGGACTTTAAGGTTATGATGTGAATGAGCAACGCACAGCATTGAGCATAGGGACTGTGTGTCGCTGTTTTAGCTAATATGTAAGCCTCAGGCTACTCATTTGATAAAGTTTCCAAGCTCTTTGAGGAGCTAATTTTGGGGGTGGGAAACTTTTCCTTTCAGGACCAGAAAGCGAGGGACTGAAACTGCAGACCGTTTGTTCTCTGAAATATCCTGTTCTTCCACAGAGAGTTCCCATAAGAAGAAGGAAAGAAAAGGCTAATGAGGAGGTTCAGAAGGGTAGGAGATACACTGGCTCCTCCTTTCTGTCTTCAGAATTTCTGTCTGTGGAGGAAGAGGAATTGTCAGATTCTGATTATAAAAAAAAACAGACATAGGCCAAAGAGTGGCTGTATTCCCAGTGGAATGCTTTGATACTATGCTCAAAAGGAGAGTCTGCTTTAAAAATAGAATGGGAGCAAGAGGAAGTTGAACTTGTTCCCATCAGAAAGCAACTGTCTGCAAGCAGCAAGAAGGAAAATCAGACTTTTTATGCACAGCAGCTGTTGAAGTGATGCAATCTAGTTGGGAAAATGCTTCCCAAAGAGGATGCCTGGCTGACTTACTCAAGATCAGCTTGTCATTGCCTTCAGAGACAAAAGAAACTTTCCATGCAGGTGCTTTCCCCTTCCTCTTCCTGAGATGCAGATAGACCATATGGAAAGTTTAAGGTAGTAAGTGCTGGCTTTTCTCTTTGTCAGGACTCACTGCCTTTTTGTTCAGCAAAACTAAAAACAGAGCTCCAGCTGCATGTTCTCTAGGGCAGAGAATCGGCAAAAAACAGCAGTGGAAAAAGTGAACTCGGTGGTATCTGAATTTCTGCGAACTGCATGTTTAAACTCTGGAAATAATTTTGATCACTTTTTCAGCTTCAATTTTACTCCCAAGCATTAAAATAAAAAACAGAGCATGTGTAGTGTGCTACTGGATACTGGTGCGGTCCTTTTACCAGTTTCAATTCCTGTATTTGTTCATTTTCTCAACTTTCATGTTGTGATACAGAGTGTTAGATGAATTAAAGAGGAAAAGACAGTTATTTCTCCCTTCTAATCTACTACACTTTTCAGTTGGAATCACTACTTTTGTGTAGCCCATTGGATCTCTCTAATAGGAAAGATTTTCAGATACTAAATGTAAAATTTCCCTTTCCAAATTCTATCCAGGAACACAGTCTGTGCACAGGTGACACTTTCAATTCTTTTCCTAATTTCAACTCCAGAGTTACCTATGGATTAGACTGACTTTCATTTTTCCCCTGAGAAATCTTGTAGCCATGTTATGTATGTGTGGCTTTCATGTAAGGCAGACTGGTTTACTTTTCACTAGTTTTTTCCTCTTTGCTCAGCATTTTTTAGTTAATGCTTTTGGGTACTGAGGTACAGCTTTGAAATGATTAAGCAATAAAAGGGAGGAAGTGTTACTGTTTTCACTTTGTTGTCATGATGCCTTTTGCATGGGCAATGCCAGACTATATTGTATGCTTTTGTAGCCATTTTGTATGCTAAATTCGTACCTGTTTTGCAGCCCAGGTCCAGCTTCTGCTCCCAAGTTTCTCCTTGCTTTTTTACCTAAAATTCCTATTTTTTTCCAACATGTATGTGCTTCTAATCCAGAGCTCTTTTCATTAGTGTGCAATTCTTTCTTTTTAAGTTGTTTAACAACATACTAAATGAGGCTGATGTTGATATTAGGCCTGGTTAGACTTCCCTGTCAAGGATCAAATGCGCTTTATCCTCCAAGTGTTTTGGAGGTACATGCGATGGCAAAGCAAACCCAGCATTCCATTGACTAGCTAGCTAGCAATCAGTAGTGTGTTACTAAATTGATTGTAATACTGTTCTATTGTCATGAAGTTACTCTCAGTTTGGAGTACAAGGTTAACTGGGTTTTGAGTTACCAAAGTAAAAGAACATGCTGTGATTCGTAGATTGTCTTTACTGTTCTTTCCTTTGCTGCCTTGTAAAGGAAGCTTGTAAAGTGTATGGAGAAAGAGGATGGACCTGTTCTCACTGTTTTGTTTAATTGGTTTTTTCCCTATAAGTTCATAGTCCTGATTGTGTTTCTGTACACTTTTCTGCTCTTTCTGCACAAGCTCATGAGACTCTTTATAGAACATTCTGCAAGTCCTATTATTATGAAGTAATAGGGTATCAGTGTTGGAAGTGACACATATTGTCACCTTCCTATTTTGAAGCAAGGATTTGTTGCTGGAAATGACAGGATGAATGTTAGAAAATTGAATCTTATAAAAGTAAATATTGTTAATAAAGCAAGGTGTATACAGTATTGTGGTTTCTTTGTATGTTTTGCTCCTCAATCAGATCAGCTGTATAAAACTTACAAAATGGATTATTTTATTTCACTATTTTAAATCAACAATAAAATTGTGTTATTTCCTCTGAAAACTTAAGGCCATAGTTTAATCTAGCTGTAATGAAAACAGTTGTGACCAGTAGTTGTAGGATGTTGTGCTCTTTGCTTGTATTCTGTGTTCTATGTATCAAGAGGAACAAAGTGCATCTTTTTATCCTTTTTTCTTTTTTTGAATAAAAAGGAACTAACTTCAGAAAATATTTTTTCAATTTGCAATGCCGAGGTAGTAATAACTCCCACAACCCATTGCTCTTTTCTGTCCATACACATCCCCTCAGCTGTTTCAGCACATATGTCTGGGAATCAGTGATAGAGTTGAGGAAATGATATGGGGTCAACATAACTTTTTATTTTTAATAAAATAAATAAAAAATAACATTTTTATTTTCCTCTTTTCTTCCTCCCATGTCAGTTTTCCAAGCGATATTTACTGGCACAAATGAGAGGTGGCATGAAGGGAGGGAAAGCAGGGGAAGAATGCAGTAAAATGTCGTCAAAGTAGGATGTCACCTGTCTTAAAAATGCTTTTCTTTTTCAGGAAAACTTCATGGAAGTAATTAGAAACCAGGAGTTTCTATTATTGCCAGCCACTGAAATTGCAAAGCTTTTAGCAAGTGACGACATGAATATTCCTAATGAAGAAACCATACTGAATGCACTACTTACGTGGGTTCGACATGATTTGGAACAGAGAAGGAAAGATCTTAGCAAACTCTTGGCTTACATTAGACTGCCTCTGCTTGCTCCACAAGTAAATTGTTCAATTCCTTTCTAGTTTATACCATGTTACAGTGGGCATAATGTCTACAGCATCGATATATTGATACTGACAAATCATAAACGCTTCAGCATTCTTAATGCTTTGGATCCTTAGAGCTGCATATAAGAGCTTAGCGTGTTGTATAGACATGATAGTTTGTGTCTGTCTGAAGTACAGGATATTCTGATCCTAACCCGAGGTCAGTCAGGACACAAGACAGGGTGGAGCTACTAGGAAAACATCACTTCTGTTGCCTAGAAAAATGGTTATCGTGGATATTTTTGTCACTAGAAGGTGTATCCTTTTTACATTTCTTTATGCACAGCTTGGGTCAGTGAGTTTTCTTCATATAATTAAGCCATCCTTGAGATATCTCAAGCTATCCTTGAGATTTAGGAAATACAATTTGAATAAATTACTTGGAGTGATTTTTCTGCTCTTAACTCTTGATAAACCATCCTTGGGTATTTTTGTTCTTACCAGTCAATACTTTTTCTCCTTCTTGGAAATTTATACACAATGTTGAGGAAGACTTGAGCTCAGTTTGTTTAAATAGTTGTGAATTACAGTTTTCCTAGTCCTCTAGGACTGACTACTGTCATTAGTGTCATGTGTAGCATTGTATTTGTTGCCTGATAGAATGATGTAAACTAAGTTTGATATTTTTAATTATTTATTTCCTCCCCTTCTCCCTTCCCCTTTCTTCTGTTGTGCTAACCTTCTTTGCTGGACTTTCACTAGTAATATTTAACTCCTACTGCAGAGTTCAAGGATTTTGCTTTACTGTTTTCAGTTTGTTTAGTTAGAATTCTATTAAATTAAGAAAACAGGATTTTTTATGGAATCTGAATAATAAATAAAATTCATTAACATAACAAAAAACTGAGTTTGATTCATTCATAGTGATAAATCACATACTCAACATGTTGTTTATTACCTCTAACATAGTATCCTCTTGACGGATAGTAAGATTCACTAGCAAGCATTTTAGTATTAACATTTTAATACTGATTATTGTATATGCAATGGCAGGATTTTCTCAGTTGTGACCTTGGCTTTGTTATTCACTTTTTCTAGAAACATGATACAATCTAAGCCAGCTGACCTGGAGGAAATCATTCTTTTGTTAAGCATTTAATTAATTGATAACTAAGTAACTACTGCTGAATTCCTTTTACTCAGTTGATTGTAACTGAAACATCTTTGGAAATGGAAAGCACAGAATTTATCCCAGAAATGTGTACTGAAATCAAATTATGCCCACTCAGTAACTGATTAGGAAAACAGCAGAATGAAATACAAAAGCAATATCATTTATTTATTTCATTTATTTCATTTATTTTATCTTTAATTCTTCATGTCTTCTTCAAATATGTACTTGTATTTCTAAAAATATTTTTATGTTGCCTTTTTATTACTTTAAAAAATTAAGGCTTTAAAGCTGTGGTTTTAATATGGCAACAATTAGTACATTGAGTAAATTGAAGTGCCCAAAACAGTCTTAAGATTTTCAGAATCATGTTTTGCTTCATGATCACATGATCTTAGGCAATCTGACAGCAAGCATAATATAATGAAAAGGTTTCCAATTTTATGGTTGAAGGGTTAAAGCTATTTGAAAGAAATTAAATTAGAAAATTGAACAACTTGGTGAAATCAATAATGTTGCAAGCAGAGATGCATAGAATATTAGATTGATACTTCAAAACATAAAATCTTTGGGGAAATACTGTGAAACTGTAGCACTGGAAGCAAAAAGTCATAATGAATTGTCAGTTTTATTGGTTGCGGGTTTATGCATCTCTGTACATAGCATTCTGTTACTTCTTTGGTTAATGCAAGCAGTGTCCTAAATATTTGTGTCTTTTTGCTCTTTTAAAGGTTAAGGATGAATATTTGGCATCTTCTTAAGCTGTCAGGTTGCAATTATTCCATCTGTGATAAATTAATTAAAAAGATGATTAAGCAGTTTCTGAGTTACAAGATAGTTCCGCTTCCTTTTAGACATAAATTCTTAGTACTTAAGTATCTACACTACCTTTCTCTTCATCAAGCTTGCCATTACTGTAATTTCATGCTAACACATCATGCTTAGTTAGAAATGCATTTAGACAAGGAGCTATGTAAGTAGTAAAACTTCAGAAAAAATTGCTTTTGTTTGAGTAAGTCTGTTCCAAGTTCTTTGAAGAATATTTGCAGAAAATTGTAATGGAGTAGGTTTAAAGTGTCTACAGGTTTTTTTGGGGGGTACCAAGGCAACCTTAGATTGCATTCCTTTTTAAATGAGATGAAGTTGCTTTCAGAACTCTGTGCTATAAGAAAACTTCTTCATAGGTTGGAGGAGTTTGAAACCGGAGAAAATGTTGGTTGCATTTTATTGTTGAAAACCTCATGTACACACATGACGTTGCTTTAAATACTGAATGCTGTTTGTCTATCAGAAAAATATACTGGAGGTCTGAATTGGTCATGTTGTGTACAAGCCTTAATTTTCATGTATGTAACTATGACAACCTCCAATTTAAAAAAGTAGTAAATACAATGAGATTTGGGTTTGGTATTATTTTTTTCAAACCATGTGCACTTCCATTGTGTTGCATGCTGGCAGTTAAAAAACAACTTTTAGTTTACTATTTTATAATCACACAGTGTCCCTCTGACGTGACACAAGTGCTCAGTGGTGCTTTGTGTCAAGAGAAGAAACAGTGGGAAGTATTGAAAGTCAAGAATGAAAATCAAGTTCCCTATGCCAATTTACATGAAAATGCTTCATTATTTTTTTTTTTTTTTTGGTATTTTAAATAGAATCATAACATCAGCCAATTAGAGAAATACTCAAAAGACTCAGTTTTCTCAAGAGTCACTGGTAAAGGGCTTTGAAAGTTTTGTTTATTCTCTGTGTATGTTAATTATGTTTGCTGTTAGAGTTTCTGTTACAGAGGTGTTCAGGCCTAGCAGTGTGTACTTACTGTATCTCTTCTGGAGTCATGGATGTCATATTTGCCACCTTGCAGTTCTCAGGCAGCTTTAAGCCAGGGATACACACACCGTATTATGCACAACTATTTGATAATGTGTTCCTTTACTACTCCCGATTACTAATTTCACAGAACTTGTGTACCTGGTACCAGTTGGCTGTCAACAGCTCAACAATGACTTCATATCCTGCTTTGCGGATTGCGTATTTCAAATGTTCACAAACTCTTTGGATTTTGTGATGGCAGTTCAGAGGCATCTGCCTTTTCCTCATTGTTCTGACAACTGCCCCAAGTCCCAGTGGGGCACTTGCTTTTTGAACTCTTGTTACTCAGGCCATGTCTTACAGCTCAAAAAAAATTCCAGTTGTCTAGACTTATAATAATTACAGTTGGGACCCTCAGCCTACTAATATATTTTTCCTGCAGGCTGACAAACATGAAGTACAAAAGACTCTAGAATCTTTAAACTTAAAAACTTTCATTAGTACTCTTAATTTCATTTGTCAGATTTAAAATTTGACAGTTGTCAAATTTGCTCACAGCCTTGCCCACGTTAAAATTTTTAACAAAGGCTTGTATTAATTGATATACTGTGATCTGGGCCACTGTCAGAGTGAGGAATAGAATATAAATTAAAATATTTAACCTGTGCCTGAAGTGGCTTTTATGGACCCCAGGATTAAATGGATTCTGGAGTAAAAGCCTGAGGTTAAACTGACTTGCATACCTGGAGCCTGATTCCATTTTCTGAACATACCTATAGTGGCACTGGAACACAAGGAGATTTTGTTTTCTTTCTTTGGACCATTAAGCTTAAATCATCCATTAAGATCAGGTGATGTTCCTTTTTTGTACTTAATGGCTTAGCTTAAAATGTGAATGTATGTTGTTTACAGTGATACAGCTTGTTTAATTTTCTTTCTTTTTCACAGTTTCTGGCAGATATGGAAAATAATGCACTCTTTAGGGATGACATTGAATGTCAAAAACTCATTATGGAAGCAATGAAGTACCATCTGTTGCCAGAGAGACGACCTATGTTGCAAAGTCCTCGCACCAAACCTAGAAAGTCTACAGTGGGTGTGTTGTTTGCAGTTGGAGGAATGGATGCAACAAAAGGTATTTGCTTGTAAAATAATTATTTCATGAGCTGGTTTGGTTCTTTTTAAAATAAACAGATACTTTTACAACATGTTAATTCTGAAATTCAAAGATTCTGTAGTATAGGACATGAAATGTCTTAAGTGTGCACTGCTTATTAGGTTATAAAAACCTATGCAGCTTTGACAATACTGTAAACATTCTGGAAGCTAGGATTATGATTGATTTGGAATCATGAAAGGAACACTTGATTTGATGAGCAAAATGTTGAATCGAGTGAAAACTAATCCTTATTTACTCAAGTGAGAAGTAATTTGGAAAAGGAAGAAAA